TCACATTGTGCTCTCTCCCCAATAAATAAAGAGATCATTTTTGAAGAAGACATAATTGACAGAACATATTTATTGTTAATTATTGTTTGCCTCCTCTCTCTATATATATCTATCTCCTCCTACGCTCTATTCTTTGTGTGTGATTCACGAACAAATCAGGATTTAACGTCCTAAAAAGTGCAATGAACGTGGATCATGACACAAACAAAAAAGTGGTATCCTAAGAAGAAAAAACCCACAACAAAGACATTGCCAACATGGAATGTACTAGAGAGTTTGTAACTCAACAAATCCAAAAGTCAGGAGATCAAATATTTGAGACTATCCGAGAAGCGCTAGCTCGGGGAAGAGATTTTTACTTTTAAGAGGAAGGGTCGGTGCCAAACAACCAACAAAGACATTGTCAACATGGAATACACTTGAGAGTTTGTAACCCAACAAATCCAAAAGTTGAAGGATCAAATGTTGGAGACCATCTGAGAAGCACTAGCTCATGGAGGAGATATTTACTTTTAAGAGGAAGCACCAGCACTTAACAACCAAGAAACACCCCTCCCCCTCCCCCCCTAAAAGCCCTGAAATGAGAAAGTGACTTCGAGTACTTTGATAGTGTCAGGCTGGCGTCGATAGATCAACATCAATTTGGATGTACTGAGGCTCCACAATAGCTTAAGAATGTGTTCTCATAGTAAATCTCTTAGGTCAAGCCCCAAAAGAGGTTCAAAATTCAAACACTAGAGCCTTCAAGGGGACGATCGATCTGATCGACCACATAACCGAGTTTGAGTCAATCATGTGTTTGTTAATGAACATTGACATCCTAAAATTCCCAACAGTAACTGAAAGCTCTAGTAGAGTAAATATCGGATGAGCCAGTTTAAGCCCATGAAATTCACATCACTGACATATTTCCTACCATCTTTAGAGGAGATGGGGACTTATCTTATTGAGCCATCCTAAAGAAGGTTTAAATGAAATAACTATGCGCCTTTATGCCTAAACTTAAATCACATCTCCCAATAGCCTTCATCAATGATGAATTGTGCCCTAGGGTTAGTTTCTACAATGACACCATCATCATCATCACATTAATCAACAAATATCAAATTGATAGCACCCTCATTGACACCAGTAGTTCTATGAACATATTATTAAATTTAGTGTTCGATAAAATGAGTCTCAACAATGACTGACTGATAGCGGCGTCCAACCAACTCTATAGTTTTTCTAGTGAGAGAAAGGAAGCATTGGGAACAATCGCTTTATCGGTCACTTGGGAGGAAAAGATAAGTAGTTCATCAATATGGCATACTTCCTGGTGGTCGACTCGACACCCACCTATAATTTCATCTTTGACAGTCCGTGGCTCCACTCTTTTAAGGTCATTACCTCAGCCTACTACATGGTTGTGAAGTTCCCAAGCAATGTAGAGGTAATCACTATTTGAGAAAATCTCTATAAATCTTGTACATGTTAACTCCAGGAAGTTGAATGCATTGAGTAAGAGTCGCTTGAGTTTAACAACCAAAGATAATGGAGTCTTGAAACCAGCAAGACCACCAATTGGATCCCAATGACTGAAGGTGACATTGATATTTTTTTTTTCTAAGTAAAGCTTTTGATGCAGGGCATAAGGAGGCACTGGTCGACAACCTCTGAAGGCACCCAGACATTTTTGCCTAGTCTGCTGCTAAAATGTTGGTGTTACCAATCAATGTTGTATGCCACCGCTTGGATGTCAACCCTGTGGCTTCACCGATAAAAAAAAATATGGACATCGACCTAGCTGAGCTGGGCTGAGAGGAGGTTTAGAAGCTATTGAAGGCTAACTATCTCTGAGACGTCTGAAATCTTCAATGTTATCATGGTGTAAAATTTGAATGACAAATGAAGGATGTATGTGGACTTCACCAACTTGACCACCGCCTTTCCGAAGGACAGTTTCCTTCTACCTTGGATCGAAGCACTCGTGGAAGCAATAGTTGACCTTTCTGTAATGAGCTTCCTCAACACATTATTTAGCTACCATCATATCAAAATGTACCCAACCAACCTAAAGAATGTTGTATGTATCATTAGAAGGGAGTGTATTGTTATAATGTAATGTCCTTTGGGCTTAAAAAGGCTTATGTTATTTGCCAATGAATGATGTGTAAAATCTTTGTAAAATGGAAAGAAAATATGTTGAGGACTATGTGATTGATGTCCTGATAAAAATTAAAATGCCCATTCAACACATAAATGATTTCAAAGAAACTTTTGAAAACCTCAAAAAAATTAATAAGAAGCGCGATCCACTCAAGTGCACTCTCGGAACATCGACAGAAAAATTATTAGGCTACCTCTTAATCTCAAAGGAATAAAATCTAGCCTAAAGAAGGTTGGGCACTGATCAATATGTCGTCCCCCAAAATATCAAAGAAGTAAAAAATTTTAATGGCTGAATACAAGGCCTGATCCGGTTCATCTCAAAATCGTGTGACAAATTAGTTGTCCAAATGATCTTATAAAGCAGCCCATATATCAAATTTTGAAGAGAACTACTTATTGATTTTGTTGAGGAAGAACTCTAGTATGGTGGGTAGGGGTGCTGAAAAAGCATTCTTCGCAATTAAATTTGCCCCCAATTCATAAGCGATTCTCAAAGACTTGTTTAAATGAGGTGTAAGACGGCTACCCCGCCATAATTATGCCCAGGATGTTAATGTGAATAAACCTTTTGAGACTATAATGAAGGTTGCCCCACAATAAACCACAATAAAAAAAACTACCCTATCACAATCGTGCCTAGGATGTTAACATGAACTACATTTCAAGATTACAGTGAAGGTTTCCACCCACATCAAAGAATGCAAGTATGAAGGAGCCCGACATTTTATACCTCAAGATTGTGTTGGTCAGGACTTTATTTCCCACAAACATCGCCAAAATGATGTGTGTTGGAAGATTCACAAGGGTGGAGTGATTATGTAGCATCTTAGTATTACACGAAAATCTAATACCCACTCATGTAATTAAATTTATTGGTAAAGATACCAGAAGTTCTTCAAGGTACAATAGTTGTTGCAAAACGACTTGGAGTGATTACACTTGGGACTAATTACTATAACTTCACTACACCGTCTTAGAGGTGGTCGCTGCAAAGTGTTTAGGACAACATACTGCTAAATCGTGTGTTTTGTTACTTTGCAACATTTGTCGAGATTCTGTGGTGCACATTGTAATTTCACAAGTGGTTTCATTGCAACGAGTAGGGGTCGACTGTCAGTAGTTGACGATGGTTGAGAATGCATGAACAAATGCCATTTGTCAGGCCTTCGATGTAGAACACTAAACCTCAGTTCTTTCTCTTTTAAGTTTATGACTTCTTCTAGTTCAAGGCCTAATTCCTTCAAGAAGAAGGCGTGACTCTATTCTATTTATAGAGAATGCGAGAGGTTTCCCCGAGAATAAGAAAGGAATATGTATCACTCTATTGGATGGCCTAGAGATATTCTCTCAATTAGATGATATTTGGTGGACATTTAAGAGCCTTAATGATGTCAGAATTGAGTGATATTGGGTTCGTTGCATTCGTCTCTGATGCGTGCTAGAAATTCGCAGCGGTAGAGCAATGGATTATTGTCTTAGCGTTGCGCGAGGATTCAACACACACTCAGATGAAAATGAATCAAGCTGTGATAACACGAGAAGTTCTTACGTAGAAAACCCGTAAAGGGGAAAAACCATGGGGTCTGGCCCAGTTGTAAAATCTACTATAAGTTGATGCTTACAGATGTCCGTTGTCCCACAGACGGGAAATGGTTACTAGATTTTCAAGTTACAACGTCGACTGAAGACTTTTAGTCAGCGGTGGTTGACGGAGGTCGACGGTGATCGACGGTAGTCGACGATGACGAGGGGGATCAATGACGATCAGCGATGGTCGACGGAGGTCAGCAATTACTGACGACAGTCGATGACGGTCAGCGGTGGTCGACGGAGGTCAGCTGTGATCGATGGCGATCAACGGTGGTCGACAGAGGTCAACGGTGGTTGTCGACGACGATCGACGATGGCGATGATGATCTTGAACTAAAGCTTATTCTCAAAGCCTCAAGTTCTCTCTTAAGCCTCCACTTTTTCATGTGAGGTGTGAGACTTTATTTATAGTATTTTGAGTGTAATTAATACAATAATATGAACCATTTTGATCGAACGGTCTAGAGAGCTTCCCTTGAACAAATGACGTTTGATGGACGTTTGAGTGCCTTAACAATGTCAAAATTGAGCAATCTTAGGCTCGTTGGATTCATCTTGATTCATCTTATCGAGACGCTATCTTATCGAGACGCTCGATTCGACTATGAACTCGCTAGATTCAACATCTGTTTCTTTCAAATGCCTCCGGAAATTCTCCAATAGTGGTTTAATGACTTGATCCGGGCTTGATTTGACTCGGATCAGACTGAATTTTACATCATTAGGTCCGTCTCATCGAGCCGATCAGTTTGACTATAAGTTTGTTGAAATCGGAGCTCCGAATGACTCTTAATCAAAGTTGACTCTTAATCAAAGTAAGTTTGAATGTTTCTTGTTCAAAACATTGCACTGAGATTCGTGCTGGCTGATGAAAATTTGTTGGTGACGTATCAGTCACATCGATACGCTAGATTCAATTATAAGCTTGTTACATTTGAGATCCTTATGACATTTCAATTAACAAGCCAAAGCTTCTAAAAATGGTTAAATGGTTTGATTTATGCTTGTTCTGATTTGGATTGAACAAATTTAAGTTTCATTGTGTTTGTCTTGCATGCAAAAATATAATTCACTTTTAAAAAATTAGTAAGTGATATTTTTTAAGATAGATTAAAAATTTAAGTAATATATATTAAATAAATTCATAAAGATTGTGTGGTATGAATGTAAATGCTCCAATCCAAAATTAGAGTTTCGCATGGGAAGAGCAACGTGACAGGACACGATTGTGTGAAGCTCCTACGCCGGACCAACTCACCGATCCGATCCCGATAAACGCGAAGCAACTGCCTGTACTATCCCCCTCTGCTTTCAGGTAGCCGGAGGAGTGCGCAGCCATGGCGACGAGCTCAAACATACTGAGAGCTAGCGTCCCTCTGTGTCCTAAAGCCAATCGTGCGCATTACCATCGGCTAGCCTCTCTTACGGCCCTCTCGCCGCCCCTTCTCCTGCGCCCATCCGGCATCCACCGAAGCAGAAAGAGAGTTGACAGGGAAGAAAGCGACAGAGTCATCGAAGTCCGATCAATGTCCTTTTCCTTTTCCTCCTCGCCCTCGTATTCTTCCTCCTTCGGGGCCCGGCTTGAGGAGACGGTGAAGAAGACGGTGGCGGAGAATCCGGTGGTCATCTACTCTAAGACGTGGTGTTCGTGAGTCACGTGATACCCTATTTCAAAATTAAGCTGGTTTGTTTCCATTTATTTTTACTACAGTGCCTTTTTGTGACATGTAGGTACTCGATGGAAGTAAAGGCGTTATTCAAGCGAATTGGAGTGGATGCCCTCGTCATCGAGCTTGACCAGTTAGGTAATTATTCATGTCTTCTGTCTTCTTTGGAAGTGTGTGCGTGTGTGTCTGTGTGTTCGGTTGCTTTTTTCTCGTTTTCATCAGCTGATCTTTACAAGAAAAGTTTGTCTCGTTTAAATTGACTACTGCTTATTGCGCTTTGGACCTAAGGAAACTTGTTTTTGCTGGTGTTCAAAATCTTTGAAAATCCCGACATGGCTTGCTGAACCATTTCAAGATCGGAAATATTGATCTTGTGTGAAGGCGGCAGATGCGAGGAAATTTTTTTGAGTTCTTTCTCGAATCTCAAAACTTCATACTTTGGAATTCTTCAGTCGTTTCTTTGCTTATGTTTACCAAAGTATAGGTCAAAACTGTGATCTATGCTTAGTTCCATGGTACCATGTTAATGACTGTTGCAATGATAGTAGAAAGCCGCCACCATAGACTTTTGTTGGATACTTTGTCTATAAATTTCAATGTTGTTTTTATCTATTTGTGACAACCTGTGATAATTCCCAGGGTTTGGACTAAAAGCTTAAACATCATTATCAAAACTCTGGACTTTTGATTGCAGTCTAGTGTAGTGTTTTCTGTCTAATCTTAACTTATTTGACATCATCTGAATAATATCTTATTTGGTAGGATTTATGCATAATATGTAGTGCATCCTTTAATGAATTTAGTGCATCGTTGGCCTATGATGTTAATTTTGAAATTACTCTACACGCTGCAGTTATAGCTTGAGACATCTAGAAAGGATTGAAGCCAACCGGCAAAAGAGTGATTATCACAATTATTACTGAATGATCTTTTTATTTTTTATGTTATTTATTTTAATTAATAGGGGAGATTTTTTTTTAAATTTCTAACAATCCAATCTTGTATATTGAGAACAGGAGACATAATGCAAGAAAATAAAAATAATAATACTAAAAAATTTATGAACAGTTGAACATAAAAAAGTCAATGTAAACAAGCACATACTAATAAGAAAATAATGCATACAGAGGTAAAAAAATATATGATAGTGTTGGCAGGCGAGTGATCAAGCCCTAAATAAAATGATAAATATCACACATAACAATCTCTGTATGTGAAGATATTAAGCAATTTAGATCATAAGTGTAAAGATAATTCGATCTCATAAGTACAAGCACACTTAATCTAAGGGTCATCATATAAACAAACAGAAGATCCTACTGATTACAAAAAAAATACAATGATAATGGTAATAATATAATACTAAGTGTGATTATGATAATATAAAGATAACTTTACTGCATCAAAGAATTAAGAGTATGATATTTATATGGTTCAACAAAACTTGGTCTACATTTATACCAAAGCTCCCCTTGCTTAGGATTTCACTATGATAACTCCTTTGTTTGCAAGTTGGAGGAGAAATTTTCATCCCCTCTTTCTTCAAGAGGAAAAGACCTCACCCTGATTATGGATAAATGTACCTCTAGAAGCCAATAATTTGCAAAACAAGGAATACCTTCTTCGAAGGTCTCCCAAGAGTTTAGAAGTGATTAAAGTCATTATTAAAATTTCAAGAACAATTCTATCTTTATAAAAAAATGATTGCAAAATATATAATAGAAGTCACTTACAAATTTTCTTTCCTCCAATTCATTTGCAAATTTTCTTGCCTCAAGTAGAGGAATCAAGGAGTTTTTCTTCTTTATGAACACTTTAATTATTCTTTGAGATGATAAGCTTTTTAAGCACACGTTTTCTCTGTATTTTTTTCCTTTGATTTTGAGAAAAAATGATCAATTTTTAATTCATTAGAATATCTTATATATTCAGGAGATGAATGAAGAATATTCATTTTGAAATGGTTCCGAAAACTAGTCATTCAGTGGTAGTTTTGTTTTAAGTGAGTTTTTATTTCTACCTCGATCTAATGATTTTTAAATGCATATTTATGATGTCATATATGAAATTATATGTAAACAACTCATTGAATCCATTGGAATAAAATTAAGATTATATATTTTATATATATATATATATATATATATATATATATAGTTAAGTAACTAATAGAATTAATCAATAATTAATGTACAAAGTCATATTTAATAATTTAAATCATTAAATGGGACATTTATGAAAGAAATTTTTTAAAATAAATGAGTGGATAAATAAATACTTAATGATATGGTTGTAATATAATTTTAATTAAGTACATAATAACATAATTAGCAAAGTAATCAGAACTAGCATAAAACAAGCATAATTAGCTAACTCATCAAATCCTTTGTTAATGTTAATCAATTTAAAATGAATAATCTAAACCTACAAACTACACTAAATTGAACTTGAAGAGTATAACACTTGAGTTTTGATGAATAATCGTCTTTATTTCATCTTCAAATGTTTAAGGAGTCGTTTGGTTGAGTGAATTTGTGATGTTTTGTAATTTTTTTGCAAGAATTTGAGAAAATTATGTGTTTGGTATGATGAATTATAAATGCAATGTAAAGTATGAATGAATTTGAAGTTTACACCGTAGTTCATTTTGACTGAATTTAGAATTTTACATTTGGCGAAATTTAACTTGCACCGTTTATTGAAATATAAAATATTCTTGGCAAGTCGCTGCCCCGCCTGTCGTTGCTGCCCACAACCGTCGTTGCCTCCCCCTCATGTTGGAGCCACTGCCCCTCCCCAGCTATCAGCATCCCCGCTTGTCTTAGCGGTTGCCGCCGCCACCAGTTGCTCGCCGCCTAAGCAGCCTCCCGCTCGCCCGCCCCCACCTTCTGACGCCTGCCACCCAACGTCTGTCACAGCGCGACCTCTAGGCATCGGTTGCTCGTCCAATGCCGCAAATGTCGACGCCACTGGCCACGCGTTGTCGCCCGCCTCTCGCTGCCAGCCTCCAGTAGCTGGCCGCTCGCCGCGCTTGCTAGACAAAAAATATATTTTGAAATATATTGTTTTCAATCTACTTCAAACTAAAAAAAATATAAGGTCCTATATTTAATTTATAATGAACTGAACGACTCTAAAGTATTTAAAATACATTGTAATTCTGTAATTTTTTTACATTGCATTTCATTTTCAGCAAATCAAACGGCCCCTAAAGCTCCAAGTTAGTCTAATAGATGCCGACATCATCATCATATTTACTTTTATAAATGCTAATCAAATTATTAGATTATACTATGTAAGAATTTTTATTATAAAATCAATAATGAATTACAAATGAGTTGCATTGACTCATGGGGTCAATAATTTATCAAGAAGAATTCTATATTTGTTGTGGCATGACATGAATTATGAATCTATACTCATTTCTCTCTCACTTCTAATATGTTTTTGTCCCAAAGATTTGCTTTGTAACCCCATCCACCATAATGTACGTCTAACTCTTTTAATGAGAAGAAATGCAACTTCTTATCAACCTATCAAATACAATGTTAGGCAAACATTTACATTAGCATTTTCATGCAACTTAATTTCTTGGTTATGTTAATCACTAGAGCTCATGTTTCCATCAATTTCATTTACCGCCAACCAACAAGAAGCAGTCCTATTAGAAAAACTTTCACTAAAGCTTCTGCATTGAACTTAGTTTGTGGCTTCATATGATATCAAATTCATGGAAGCAAACTTGACAATTCTTCTTGTAATTCTATAAACTCATGAAATCATGCTTGAAGGATGTATTCTCGTTTATGTCCATAAGCAAACTAACAGTCATTTCTTATTGCTTAGGTCCTCAAGGTCCACAACTACAAAAAGTCTTGGAAAGACTCACAGGACAATTTACTGTTCCAAACGTCTTTATCGGTATGTAGCATTATTTTTTCTTGGAGTGTCACAAACTATGTGTTTGAAACTTCTGTTTGCATTTGATAAAGTATTATTTTATATTTTTATTGCACTTTTATTTCAAATGTACATTGTATTATTATATATCTTCATTTAATAAAATCAATCTAGAATAGTTTCTTAAGTTACCCACACTTTGTAAAATTATATATATATATGAAAAGACTATATATATATATATATATATATTGCAATTTTTGCAAATATGCATGCCAAATTTCATCATTTATTTACTACTTATATTTTCTGTCTTTATCCATTTTAGTTCGTCTTTTTTAACTTTTTTTTCTGATAGTTTGTGGATTAAACTCATCATGATTATTTTCATTTAGATTTTTCCAACTATTTATGGCCAAGTTTATGAATCATCTTTTGTCAATTATTTCTGTTGTGCTACATGAGGTCTAAAAGCGGTTATATGCAAATTATTTTTTACAATATCTTATAGTCAATTTCTCCTACTTCCTTACATATTGATGTTAATTTTATCTACCTGTTTTATGAATGTATATTCTACCCTTAGTTGTACATGTCCAAACCATATAAATATATCATTCATTTATATTTAATAAATGTTAGTCTCACCATTTCCCTAATATATAAGAATTCTTCATTTTATCCTTTCTAGTTTTGTTACGTAGGACTTGGTATAATTGGCCTAATGTAGTTTTATTAAACTTACTTTTTAAGCCTTCATGATAATTTTTAACCACATGATACTTAATGGTGATTTCTCCATTTTAAGCTCTCATCCTTAATTTTAGAGCTAATATCCTCATATATATTTTCATTTTTTCTCATATATGTTGTTTTAGCTTGATTATGGAAGCTTGTGTTTTAGTATGCCTTAGATTATAGATTCTGATGGTTCCCATTTAGCAAGTTTCAGATAATTATTTTCATTATTTATCATGACATCTCTCTTTGTCGTTGTTGTTACTAGTTCTTCGTCTTCCTTCTCTACAAAATTATGTATCCATACCTCCTTGGTTTTGACAATTTTTTTATACATTTCACAAGTTTGTATAAACTTTATGTACATTCATTATCTTACTAATTCTCATAACTATTCTTTAACTTTTTATTCATCTCATTATGTTTTTCAAAATCTTAACAAGATGATGAGTTGGAGGTTCCTGCTATCACACTGATTCTACTTCCATTATCTTGCCCGACTCTGCTTTTTCACCTTATTGTTAGCATTGACGTTTAGGTCACCATCCCCTCACCGTCTTTGGAGTTTCACTAATGCTCCATCTTTTTTTCCTAATTTGAATGTGAAGCTTGAGAATGTAGTAAACACCATTGTGTCTTCTCCTGTGCAACCTCTTGCAAGGGTGCATTTTTGACTTGTTACATTCGGATATGTAGGGACCAATTATTGTATCACTAATTTGGGTTTTTTGATATATTGTTTCTTTTATTATTGATTACACCGGTGAGTGCCGCCGAAAATTCTATATGTTAAAGAAATTTTATAGAGTGAACGTTGAGTTTTCTGCTTAAGTTGAAATTCTGTGTATAGATGATGCTTTGAATTACATGCAGTTCTTCTTACACTCTTTTTGTGCTGACAATGTTATTATACATCAATCATTGTGTCCCTATAAATCCCAATAAATAGGTGTCACTTTCTTATTGTTTCTGCTGCCTCAATGCATGTACATGTTCCACTTTAGTTTTGGAGAGGTGTCATTTTTACAGCTATTTACTCAATCTTGTGTTGTCGTCTATTCTAATTGGTGCTTCTCCCCTTTTAATTTTTTTTTTGTCTTATTTCGGAGTTTTAACCATGTTGTTTTTATTCACTCTTCATTCAGAACATGATAAACTCTTATCTTGTGCCATAAATTGTATTCTTTTTTTTACCTATTTTCGTACTCAGAATGGTTATTGATGTTAAAATCAATCCCTTTACTATGCTCCTTCATCCCCTTACACATCTCTTAATGTCCCACCTATTGTTGTAGTGCTTGCCCTTCTCTTATAGGTCTATGCTTGTTAGTCTCCTTTGCCTCCTTCAGAAGTGCTCATCTACCACTTGCACTTTGACCAATTAGATCAACGTTTTTCAATTGCTTCTTGGAAGATATTCATTATTATATTAACCAACCACTACACTCCTCTGCATCTTTTAATACTTGACAATAACAAAGTGTGCACCATTGTACAAAGTTCTAATTGAGTCCTAGTGCATAACTTGTTACGTACTTTTTAAGAAATAGTGTGAAATATTAAAAAAAATCATGAATAATTTATGTTAAATTTAATAATATAATAGTATAAATAAATAAATAATAATAATGAAAGATCACTATCAATGTGATATTAGTGAAACATAATCTTTGATTTTAAGAGACTAAATATGTGCTCCAAGGATTATTAAATATAAATTTTACAATGATATTATAGGAGTTTATTAAACTATGCAATTTTATTGAAGACTAATCAATTATGAGGATGATGAGATCAAGAAGTTAGAGCATGAAATGGTTTCAATTTGAATAAGTTTGCTTGAATAAATTAATTGAAACTCTGCCTATCTTAAATCTCGAATATCAACTTGATCTTCAGAACTCTTAGTTCATGCACTTAAGAGTTCTGCTTTAATAGTTTTTGTCAAGCATTCAACAAAACTCATTAATATTAAATCATGAATATAGTTTAAAGGGAGGGATAAGTTGGATAGATAAACCGTTTAACAATCATAATTAAATAATATCTGAACATAAAATATGCTAATCCTTGAAAAGGATATATAGTAGTTTATTTATTTTATTTGATTATATTTATTCTTTTTAAATTATTTTCTAGGTTCTCATATTCACAATTTAGAGAACAAGACAAAGTGTAAGAAGTGGTAAGTCATTTTAGGTAGAGAAAAGCTTTAGGAGTTTAATATATTTTTATTTGACTCATAAAAATTGAACAGAAATGATGATATAGTAAGACTGATAGAGAGCGCAACAACAAGTTTTTATCCCATTATGTGGGGTCGGCTAGATGAATTCTTTTCTCCATTGTGTCCTATTGAGTGTCATATTTTCATTTAAGTCTAATAAATTAAGATCATTTTTTATACAACATGCCCAAGTCTTTTTAGGTTCACCTCTATTTTTCTTTACATGAAATATCGACTCTTCTAATTGGATCATCAAATGTTTGACGTTTAATGTAGCCAAACCATCTAAGGTGCTCTCTCTAATCTTTATTGCCATTGGAGCTACTCCATCCTTTTCACGGATATATTCATTTCGCATTTTGTCTCTAAGTCTAAAACCACTCAACCACATGGGCATTCTCATCTCAGCAACACTTGACTTTATTTTTTGCTTCTGTGTTATAGGCCAACATTCTACGCCATAAAGCATTGTAAGTCTCACCAGCATCTTATGAAATTTTCCTACAAGTTTAAAGGGAATTTTTCATCACACAATAGGCCTAATGCATTCGTCCACTTCAACCATCCAACTTTTATTCTACTAAAAATCTCAATCTATCACCGTCATTTTGAATTATAGACTCAAGGTATCTACAATATTCACTCCTTTTTAATGACTTGATCACCCATTATTGCAAACCCACCACTAGATTTACTACTATTAAAATTACATTCTATTTATTCAATTTTAGACTGCCCAAACGAAAGCCCTAAGACTCAAAATTGACCTCCATAATTTACATTTTTTCTGAACTCTCGCTAGTCTTATCCACAAGAAGGCATCATTAGTTAAAAATACACTGAGGTATATTTTCTTGTAAATTTCCTGTAAAGGCACATCCGTAACTTAAACAAGAAGATATGGGCTTAAAGTTGGTCTCTGATGTAATTCAATTGAAATAAAAAAAATACTAGGTCGATCCTCCTTGTGTCCGAATATAACAAATCTACTATACATATCTTTAATGATTTGAGTAAGCAATATCAAGACCATTCTTTTCTAGAACTCTCTAAAATACTTTTCTTGCAACCATAACATAAGCTTTTACTAAGTCAACAAAAAATCATATGTAGATCATCCTTACTCTCTTTGTACTTCTATTTCAAACTCAATAAATATATAACTTTCATTGTAGATTTGCCTGGCATAAATTTAAATTGATTTTGGGAAATTTTTGTATCACGTCGTGATCTATGTTCAATCACTCTTTTTTATAACTTTATGTATGACATTTTAACCTAATTCCTCTATAATTTACTCTCTCCTATGCATCCCCTTCGTTCTTAAAAATATAAATGAATACACTCTTTGTCCACTCGTCAGGCATCTTTTTTAGTTTTTAAAATAATATTGAAAAAGTTTAATAAGTAAAAAAATTCTTAGATCTCGTAAACATTTTTACTCTTCTACCGTAATACCATTAGGTTCTACTGCTTTTTTATATCTTCATTTTCCTCTTTAACTGTCATTTTACTAATGAGACAATAAAAATAAAAATTTTTTATTATTTATGATATTAAAATCACTAATTTTAATCATATTTTTACAAATTTTATTGAAAAAATTTATCAAAATATATCACCCACTTATGTTGAATATTCTCATCTAGGTGATGTATTTTTTTTTTTCATCTCTAATTCACTTTACTTTAACTAAATCTTTACTTTTTTTATATGTTTGCTTGAATAGTTCGTACATATATATTATACCCTATTTAGAATCTAATATATTATAAAGATCACTCAAAGTAAAATTCTTAGCATCACAAATTGTTCTTTTAGACTCTCTACGAGCCACTTTAATTTTTTTGAACTCTCCAAGCTTTTATATATAATTAATTTTTTTATAAAAAATTTTCGTATTTTTTATACTTTTTTTGCACATTATTATTTCTCTAGCAACTATTTTTATTCATAAGAGCTTTTTCTTTTAATTTTTCAAGCACATTTTTTGTAATTTACTTAATGGTACTCATTATTTTGTCTCGCGTAGTATTAGCATCTTCATGAACATTTC